ACTACTACTACTACTACTACTACTACTACTACTACTACTACTACTACTACTACTACTACTACCACTATCACTACTATTATACTACTATTATTATACAACTATTACTATACTACTATTACTATACTACTACTACTTATCCTTAACAATTCCAATCTATATTAGGAGTCATAATTATTCGTTCAATATTATTAATTTTTATTTTATAGTAAAGTCGATTAGGCGTATGAATGCATATCTCAACTTTCTTTTCCAGTATTTTTGTTCTGTTTGCGTTGCATCATACTATCACTGATTTTTTTTTTATAAACACAATGGAGTTTTGGTATGAAACTTACAAATTCTGCCACTTAGGACATTGACTGCTACAACATTGCTTGCTAATTTCGCCGATATTTTATTATATCTGCTTAGCTTGGTGGTGAAATATGAAATGAGTAAAATGAAATTTGGTTGTGGGAGCATTAATATTTCTCATACATTGCACTGCCGTCGATTGTGGAGAAAAGAGATATCAAGGCCGACGACTAATTAGGCAGAAACATATTAGCATAGCATGATATTTAAAAAGAGGTTTTAATGTTGGGAAATGTTTGCTAAAGAACGCATTTAACTGTAATGAAAATTTCATAGCGTTTGAAAGTCTTCATTGTTCTCAAAATGGAAAATTATTCTTCTTAAATATTCACAAGCATGTAAAATCGATAACATTACATCTGAATGATAATGTAATGATAAGAATTGCTCGGTGTAACAGTTTTTAAGTAATACGTTATTGCTCTAAATGCTGTTCATTAAATTTCAGGTGTATGTCCCAATCTCGCAGTGGAGTTCATATACGATTTTCGTTACGGGTTCATTCCCGACTGACAAATCCGAAAATAATTCAATACAATATTCTTTGGATAATATTTGAAGCTTTGTTTCATTCACTGGGGAGGTGGCTAGCTTCCTATAGTTGTCAAAAAATGCTCAATGGTGGTGACACAAATTTAAAAGTTGATGAACTTTGAATATACATTTTATTTCATGATATTCGGGTTAATGAATTCAAATACTATTTCTTTTCTTATTAAATAAATTACATGCTAGATTTGTCTCCGTGCTACCAAGGCTTGCTGCGATTGGAACTTGTAAAATGTTTCACGTGATCACCTTTGGTACCGATATATCCCTTTGGTATCATTTGTTCCTTATTTATTTTGTACCTACCGTTCCTCACGGTGTCGTGGTAGCTTCACGGAATGATTCAAGAAAATGTCTTTACAGAACAGTGGTTATCTCATATTGAATTTAGGGCTTTCCAAATTCCCTTTAAAAGTATTGTACAACAGTTGCATTATCTGACAGCTGGCTGTGCGTGGAATAGCGCTAACGTGACAGTAATGCGATCGCACGACGGGCTGTGCCCGAGGTGGGCGCCTAGGCTCTGTGGCGGTTCAGGTAGTCGGAGCCACTAGACGCGAGAGAGTAATCTGCCCCCCCCTCCCCCGCCACCTCGACTGCACGCCTACGTTTCCGTATTTCGTCATTCTAAAACGGCTAATCGCTTAACACGGTCCCTTGACAAACTGTAATATGTATCAGCTCCGCCTGGATGGTCTCTATGTTTCCGTGACACATTTGCTCCCCCACATCCCCTGCTCCTGTTCCTACTCTCACCGTTTGACCTCATTCTCGTCCCGCTCCTGCTCTTATGCGTGCCCTTGTTATCGCTTCAGCACTAGCTATCGCAGTGGCCCGCCGTCCTTCGCCTTCCACGCTCTTGTTCCAATCTCCACACTTGTCCCCCAACGCACTCCAGATTATGCCCGTGATCCAATCCAATTCCCAGCTTCTCTCCTGCTGTCACTTTTCCATATGCGCTTATTTCCCTCTTCAGCCTGCAACAAAGCTCTTTCCCGCATCATTCACGCCGTCCTATCCTTCCTTTTTCTTCCCACGGCGGTTGGCCGTGTCGTTCTCTTTGCCCTTGCCATCGCTCTGGCCATCTCTTCCCTTCGCGCTTGCCGCCGCTTTGCCCTCGCTATAGCATTCGCTCTCGCCCTCATCCTTCGCGCTTGCTGTCGCTCTTGCCCTCGCTCTAGCTTTCGCTCTTGCCCGCGCTGTAGTCCTCGTTCTAGCCCTCGCTGTGACGCTCGCTACAGCCCTTGCTCTAGCCCTAGATCTTGCCCTTGCCTTTCCCCTCGCTGTATCCCTTGATCTAGTCCCGCTGTAGCCCTACTCGAACCCAAACCCTTGCCTCGCCCTCTCTCGCTCTGCCTCTCGCCCTGGCTCTCTTCGACCCCCTGGCGACGTGCGTGGTGTGGCGTGGCGTGGCCTGGCGTGGCGTCTGAGGCGCCGGCGACCGCCGCGAGACGGAGTGGCCCAACCTGCTTGAGGCTTAGCGTCGCGTCGCGTCGCGTCGGGTCGGGTCGCGCGCAGGCTCTTAATGCCGCACACGTAAGACGTCTCCTGCCACGCCACCCGCACGAGCCGACAGCGCCCAGCCTGCACCAAACGCCGCTCTTGAATCTGGCAATGAGGGGTGGGCAATGGGGAGCGGTGGGGCCCGCAGAGGCACCTGGCAGATTTAGACGTGTCACATGAGTGTTTGGGCGACGCGCGTTTCACGCAGTAAGCTACGCACATCGTAGATTAATACCGTATCTTACGCGGAACGGCCAAAGCTCTCATGTGCCGTTTTGCATAAGATACTGTGTTATTCTGCGACGCCTGGATGATAATTACTACTCATTGCCTGGATAATAATTGTGGGGATAGACTGCTTTAAACGATAACTTCAGCGTTTGCCTCCCAACATTTCTGAGAGAACGTCAGAGTAGTTACTGAAACAACAGGTCTCGCGACGCGCGTTTCATCCTACCCCGTCGTGTACCCAATCCCATCCACAGGGTCGGACTCTGATCTGAACCCGCGGCCTCGTGCGACCCTCCCTGCTTGATGTAGAAAGACTCGAGAAGGCGACGGGTATTTGCTTCAGCTGTGGAATCCCCTTAGGCCGAAATCCATTCGAATGGAGCTTAGGAAACTCTGCAGTCTTTCATGACGCTACACTTAAATTCAAAAATATTCACATCTGATCAACAAATGCTAATACACGGAAATAGAGTAGTTTGATAACAATGAAGACTGTAACTGAATGATAATTGAAAATGGGTAATTTGATTAGTGACGGTATTGTTTTGGTTCCAGATGCATCATTTAAGCAAACTGTTAATAATAGTATTACCGTAAAAGTAGTAACAAGATAAGCCATATCGACTACGAGGAATCTCCCGATATCAATAAATATATCTCGATTTTGGTCGAAGTGTTTTTAAATAAAATGCTTGATGATGAGCTTTGAAATAAAAAGTTGATGTTCATGAAGGGCTTGGGGCAATATTAAGGCGAGCAAAACTTTGACCAAAATCGAGATATTGAAATCATCGAATAGCGGGAGACTTCCACGACTGCTGTGACTTATCTTGTTGCCGCCTCAAGGCCTTCTTATCTTGAATTTCCATATGTTCGAGGGCTGTAAAGTAAGTTTCCCTAAGTCGTGAACAAAAAAAACTTTTCATGGAAAAATCGAATTGTAGCAAATACACTATATGCTTCACTAGCTATCCACATAAGGTCTCAATTCTGGTGTGAATGTGTAGCGAAAATTGCAACATGTTCATTGTATGTTGCAACATAGTTTTCCAATGAAATTGTGTTTTCTTTTTGTTGACAACCTAGGGAAACTTACATTCTGGATGCGCTTCGTAAATGTTAAAATATGGCCGGAGCGTGGTAAACGCGCTGGCGTGCCTCTTGCTATATGCTAGGAATGCGACATCGATTTAGATGTTTTGAAACCATTCATGTTTTCAATATCAATGAATTAAGATATGTTTTATGTGTTTTGCTCGATGTTTTGGGGATAAAAATGCCTATCATCATTATTTTTTAAATTTAAAATATGAAATAGTAACTGATTTCAGTTTATGTGTTCGATCCAAGCGAAGGAAATTAGTATCATCTTCATCGAACACACTGTCTTTTGCCCGACATGACCCCAACGCTTTTGTATTTCCTACGTCTTTTCTCGTATTTCGCACGTGGTGAGACGTATTTTAACATTGTTTTCACCTAAATCTTAATCTGAATCAGTTAATAAACCGGGTCACTGTTTATGTTATTTCAACATTAAACACATTTAATGTTAGAGGCTACTAAAGTGTCTTTAAAACATCAATGTTTAAAAACACAGGATGTTTAAAAACATCGATGACTTTTGGTCGATGTATAATTAATATCGATGTTTTAATTGTGAACATCGAGGTCAGTAAAGATCGATATCAGTAGCCATCGGTGTCAGTAAACATCGATGTTGGTAAACATCGGTGTTGGTAAACATCGGTGTTGGTAAACATCGATGTTGGTAAACATCGGTGTTGGTAAACATCGGTGTTGGTAAACATCGGTGTTGGTAAACATCGATGTTGGTAAACATCGATGTTGGTAAACATCGGTGTTGGTAAACATGGGTGTTGGTAAACATGGGTGTTGGTAAACATGGGTGTTGGTAAACATCGATGTTGGTAAACATCGGTGTTGGTAAACATGGGTGTTGGTAAACATCGGTGTTGGTAAACATCGCTGTTGGTAAACATCGCTGTTGGTAAACATCGCTGTTGGTAAACATCGCTGTTGGTAAACAGCGCTGTTGGTAAACATCGGTGTTGGTAAACATCGGTGTTGGTAAACATCGGTGTTGGTAAACATGTGTGTTGGTAAACGTCGGTGTTTTGTTATCGATGTCGCATCCCTGGTATGTGTGCGCCGCGCGGCGAGGCGCGTGGCGAGACGTGTGGCGAGGCGTGTGGCTGACGTGCGCGTGCGTTGCAGGGGACCCGCAGGAGGAGTGCGTGCGCTGCGGCAAGGTGTACCTGGCAGCGGCGCACCAGCTGGCGCGCGGCC